TATATATATATATATATATATATACACATACACACTGTATATTCATAGAGGCATATTTATAAACAATGTACAAAATGACTGTTTACGATAGGCATACCAGCAAATCATATATCACATTGATCTTTTCAACCATTTGTGGAATTATATGGAAATTGAAGTAGACAGCACCATCTGTGATATCCAAATTACTTAAATCTATGTATACAAATATGGTATAGATGAACAATAGAGCATCCCAGTGACCATGCCATCAATATTGAACATTAGTCCATTGCACAGGGGTGGAAATGTGTGGGCAGGATATCTGTAGCAGAGCAACAGATTTCTTATGTAATTACTTTAATCTTTATAGTCTGGGCACAGATGCACAGTTAGCCTGGTATTTATGTAAGCTTGGTAAATATAACAAATGTACATTTTGTTCCTGCTCCCAAACAAAAATTTGCATTTACAAAAATGCTTTACATTCTCTTTAAGGTGATAACAGGTGTATTCTCCTATTGCATGATCCCTGAACTGCCTGTAAGGGAGTTCCCCAACACCTCTGTGGTATCATTTAACAAACTACAGCAAAAGGTTATTTCACAAACAAGTGTTATGAATGAACTACATTGTATGTGCCAGATTCTGGAATCATTACATTAGTCAACGTGAATGTGGGAACCATTTCTATCTCTACTTAAAAATCATGAGATGCAACATATCCCACCGAAAATGTAAAAGCATGTAGCTAGGGAATGCATGCCAGTTGTTAATGGACATCATTAGGACACAAATATAGATTTACTATCCTATAAGGTAACCATGGCCAGAAAACACTCAATATATGTAGACAATTTATTGAATTATTATTACAATCTAAAAACAAAATTGGCTAAAACTTTACCTACTATATGCACTCTATTATGCAATTCACAATAAAAATATTATACTTTTTTAGTTTATACAAATAAAGTCTAATGTTTTGGATTTATTCATGCATTAATGTGTAACCACTGCATTAATGACTGACCTACAGAATGACAATGGCATATCTAAACATTTAGTCATTGGAGTCTCATGTGTGATTGAAATGGCGTGTTCTGCTGCAGTGACTTGAAAATTCATCTGTCTGTGTTCTTTCTGTAATATAACAGCCTTTGACCTTAATTGTTATTAATACTATCTAGTGCATCTCCATTCCTGTACCATAGGTAAACCATGTTATCAGGTTAAAAGATAATTTTGCAGAGAAAATTCAAAATTAATTCAGTCACCAAAATCACCTCATTTGCTTACCAGTTTTATCATCGGAATTGGTCACAGTAAACGGAGCCTTTGTCGCCGTAGTCTGCTCTAAATTCTGTCCAGCGCAATTTGCCCAGTAGTCTGGGCAGCAATCTATGTGTCCCAGTGCCTCCTGGTCACAAAATGTGTCACAATAGCACGTTGCATTTTTACTGGTGTAATATGCATTGCAGTCATCATTTCGACTGTCACAACAGCCATTATTCCTACAATAATTGTTAATGTCCAGGGATCTTTTGGTTCTGATGCTCCTGAATAAGCTGCTATCTTCCTTAGAATACAACTTTACAAAAAGATGTCTCCCAGAAACAAAACTGTTTGAAAAAAAGATACTTGTGAGTAATAAGCTCCATAGTATTAGACACAGAGAGCCCATGTTCAGCTGGGAACTATGTGCTTACACCGTGAAGTGGGAGTTAAATAAAGATAACAAACGATCATATTGAATTTAGTGAACTTTGCTAGGTGATTTTGATTAACAATTAACTTGTGTTATCTAGCCATCAGCTTTAAAATGTGCAAAAGCTATTAAAACGTCGAGCTAACTTATATGGTACAATAGCTTCAGTCAAGCAGACTTTGAACCCCACATTCTCACTGCAAATACATTTTTTGTGCAGAGTTGCTAACTGTTAGTAATAGAATCAAACGTATGATCTCGGCATTTACACTGAGCAGACATGTACTGTAGGTTGACATCAATGTCTAACCAATTCATCCTTGTTATAGTCTTCATGGCTCTTCAGATTAAAACTGATGGTACATTAACAAATGCTGTATATTTGTAAATAAGATCTATTCATGACTAAATTTGGGATTTTTAAATTCTAGTAGAACACAGTGGTGTTGTGGTTAGCACTTCTGCCTTACAGCACTCAGGGTCCCTCGTTCAAATCCTTGTCAGGACACCATCTGCAAGGAGTTTGCATGTTCTCTCTATGCTTGTGTGGGTTTCCTCCCACACTCCAAAGACATGCTAGGAGGTTAATTGGCTCCTCTCCAAAATTGTCCCTCTATGTATGCATGTGAGATAGGGACTTTAGATTGTTGGGACAGGGACTGATGTGAATAAGCACTGTGTAAATTGTTGGCGCTATATAAATACCTATAATAAACAACTGTATTAGTGTATTTTTTAATTCATGTGTGGATCTATAATCTTACCATTTATTTGTCTGGTGTCAGATCCAGGTTTATAATCAGGCATCCTCCCTTTTAGATTGTAAGCCCTCAGGGGCAGGGCCCTCCTTACCATCTTGTCTTGAATTGTATTGTGATTGTAATGTCTGCCCTATATTGTAAAGCACTGCGCAAACTGTTGGTGCTATATAAATCCTGTATAATAATAATAATAATAATAATAATAATAATAATAATTCTAGTAAGAGCAAGAAAAGGATAATGTGCATAAAAGTACTTGTGAGGTGGTGTGAACTACAATGGATTGTTGTGTTTTAGGCTCCTTTCACACCTGTAACATGTGTTACTGCATGCACTTTAGCATGTTTATCGGGCCTTAGCATACGTTGCGTTAATACAGCCCCATAATTTGGAACTGACGGCTATCGCAGCAAAACAAAAAATCATGAAGGAATCTTTTTTTTTTAACATGTGTGTGTTGATCTGTGTTTGCATGATGCCAGTGGTGGTGTGATTGAAAATTATTAAGACGTTAACAGCACTGCAATGCACATTGGGCATTATGAAGTGTTGTGGTCACACATCGTAAATTGCATTGCATTGTATTCTAGTACAGTACAGTGCGAAGGGAAATAAATAGGAAAAGTGGAGAGGGGAAAATAAACTGAAATTTGCAATACCAATGATAAAGAAAGCAGAACATAAATGAGGCAAGCAGTTAAAGGGTTATTAAACCCTCACATTACATCTGAAGAGTCTCGGGCGGCTGCAAAGGATCTTGGGGCGGGTGCATGCGCACTTCAGAGGTTCGGCCGGGAGACAAGGAGAGACACAAGATAGGTCTATGGAGCAGCGTGTACCCGCACAGACACCGTGGGACATCAGAGAAGAGGAGGACAGAGGATACAGTGCTGGATCCGAGACCCGCACCAGCGCAGGAGGAAGAGCTGAAAAGGACAGTAAAGAAGAAGATGATCAGATTAAGAGACATCATTTAAGGTAAGTCCCTACTGCAGGATTGGGAACGGGGGAAAAAGTTTGACTTTAATGTCACTTTAAGTAATTAATGTGTAATAATGGGTACCATTCATTCTTAAAGGGACATTAAAGTCACACATTTTTTCATCACACCCCATATGCTGCTTTAAGGACTTACCTTAAATGATGCCTCTTGATCCGATCATATTCTTCCTTCCACTTGTAATGAAAAGTCCCTCTGCTGTATCTGCTGTGTCTCTCCTCTTCTCACCACTGAAGATCTCTACTGCACATGCGCCCGCCCCATCATCCTGCTCAGCCACTCGAGAAGCTCCAGATCTTCAGTCAGGAGTGAGCAGCGGAGACACAGGTAAGTAATTACCTTTTTGGGAACTTTTTTATTTTTTTTAATGTTTTTCCATGTATCTACTGCTTGCTAGCAGAAAATACATTTTTTTCTAACTTTGTTTTTTTAAAATAATATTTTATTTTTATATTTTTTTAATTTTTGTATGACATAGTTTTATTTGTTACTTTACTTATACATGTGTTACTGCATGCACTTTAGCATGTTTATCGGGCCTTAGCATATGTTGCGTTAAGACATTGGCTCTTGGGAAATATCAGGGGTCTATACAGACCCCTGATATTTCCCTTTTAAAATAGAAAAAGAGATTGAGGACACAGAGTCCTCAATCTCTTATTCTGCAGCCCCTGTTATGAATGAACAGGAAGTCTCTATAATGAGTGTTCCTGTTCATTCATAACTTGTGGAAATAGTATGTTTACTATGTCCACAATCATGAATGAACAGGAAGTGATGTACATCACTTCCTGTTCATTCATAATCGTGGGACACAGTAAATATACCATGTCCTCAATTTTTTACAAACACTCAACAGTCAATGATCGCTGAGTGTTTGTATACCGCTCTGCATCCTGACTCTTCCAGAAGTCACAGGTGGCTGAACTAGCGGTGTGGAAGGGAAGCTTGGTCTCTGACAGCTGACCTCCCCTGCACCACCAGCTCGGTCTCCTGTCACAGCTGTCTCTTCCCCCACACCACTCTCCATCCTGATCTGTCACAGGCTGAGCGGGGCAGTGTGGAAGGAGAGCTCAACCTCCTGTGACATCGCCACTCACAGCGCTCTCCACCTCGCTCGGCCTCCTGAAGTTTCTCTTCTCCCCGCTGGGCACTGTTTTGTGTCAAAGTAGCGCACAGCGGGAAGGAGAAAAACTAGAGATGCACTGCAATTTTGGCCAAAAGATGTTACTTTCGGCATTTTGCCTAAAATACCATTTTCGGCTGATATGTTCAGCGGCCAAAATTTTGGTGCATCCCTACATGTAAGGTAAATTACATTAGCACACGCATCTCATCCCTTTGTTTACATGCAACTGTGGGTGGGAAATGCCCAGCCCACAGCTGATTGGGTGGAAGTACCCATGGCATTATTTTGTTCAGAGGAGCTCAGGTTCACACTTGGTTTGGTCTGAACCTGAGCTCATCCCTACTAAGGAGTGGTAAGCTGCAATATATTACATTTTTATTTTAGAGTTTAGAAACATTTCAAAAAACCCATATTGACTATTGTAGGCACCAGAGAATGGACAGATATTTCGTACAATGTAACCACAACAGCCACTGAAACCCTCTTAAGCAGCAGATTTTCTGTTTCACATAACAACTTGGACATTTAGATTAAGGAATATTGTCACTGAGCCTTCCAAATGCAGACTGATGTGAAACTTATCAAGATTCATCTAAAGTATTGAAGTATGGAAGGCTGCAACTTTTCCTAAACTTAATTCCCTTGGTTATTTGACACATTCATTGAATAAATACAATGGTAAGAAGGATTGCTTAGACATTTAGGTAATGGCATAGGAGAAAAAGCATAAGTTATAATTATTTTGAATTCTCAAAAATTCTCAAAAATGTAAAAAATGTGTCAGTCATTTATGAACAGAACCTGAAAACTAGCTCAGTCATGAAGGGGTTAAAGTGTTAATATTATAACTGTTAATACATTGCCTTCAGTTACCTAAAAAGTAAGGCCATTTTTTGTTTCCAGTAAAGTACAGTTGCATACAAAAAAAGTTGTCTGTAATCAACACACTTAAAGTGTAACTACACCTTTTGTGTGTACATTTATTTTATAGCTTGCTGTGCACTCAGCTCCCCCCGCCCGTGTTATTATCACCTGGCTTGTGCATGCACTGTGCACTCTCATTCATCCCTATGATGAAAAACTTTGTAACATCTGTAATGTTGGGGAGCTCAGAGAGCAACCACACATGGCTTATCCATAAACAAAAAGTCTTTATATTTTTTTCTTTAGGCAACTCACAGGTGGAAAACTTAACTTCAGCATATAACATAAAGCAAAGCTAATTTATCTTCAGCAAGAAGGGTATCTTGTCTCACTAACTTAAGGTTGTCCCGTTCAGTCACTGTCCTAGTGCCAGGACTTTAACGTTGGCCTTAGCAAACCACCTCAGAGGTACTTCATGTTCTTTAGCTGCTTCCAGTAGCTTTCCACACACCTTGTGTGCCTGGCTCTCTCAGCCTGTCTAATTGACCAGCCTCCCTGGCTGTTCCGTGTGTGGCTTCACCACAACACCTGGCTTGGCTCTCGTGTGCCTCCAGCACACACCACACCACCTCTCCTGAGCTTCGGCCTGGCCTCTTAATGAGGCTGCTCTCACCTGATCAACACAGACTAGTTGTTGGCAACACCTGACTCTAGGACTGGAGATTTCATCCAACCCAGAGCTCTAGGAAATCTCCAGAGCTCCAGATCCCAGCTACAATCTGGAAAAACTGGAGGAAACGGAAAAGCCAGGTGAAATGTTTTACACTCTGGACCCTCTCAGCCCCTCTGGCTGAGAGTCCTGGGTTCCACAGTTGCCAAACTAAATTGTGGCATTGCCTTGCACTGCCACACATCTTAATTTAGCAAATGAAAACAGTATTGTTGTAGCAGACACCATACATTACTTGTTTTTACCTTTACCTGCTGCAGGGCCAAGGATCGGGCCAGTATTTCTTCTTTATTTTCACCCATAAAAAAAAGAACAGTTAACCCTTGCAGTGTGGGGGTAGTCCCACTGTGAGGATTAACATTTCAGCATTCTGGAGATCTTTTTTAAAGAGTTAGTGTCACAGCTTAGGGGAACAAAAAACCTAAAGGAACAATTGGTACCATCATCAAAGATGCACAGAGGGAACACATTGGGGCACCAAAACACCAGTGGCATTGTAGATGTGAAATTAGCAATCTCCATTATTTAACACTTGTCTCCTTCTGTAGAAACGCCAGTATCCACTTAGCACAGTCAGGGCACCTAAAAGATGGTTTGGGATGCTGAACAAATTACAGCGGGACTGGTTTTAACATCATTAGCATTCATGTGAAACGGTCCAGATTGTGACATCTAGGGAGCTCCACCTAGGACATTGCATGTAGCGGATTAGTATTTTACAAAAAGGTGCCAAGGACAGACGCCACGCCATAGTTCCTATTTAGTTGAACATTTTTATCCAAGAAACCAGAAAATACAGTTATACAGTTCCACCTTCAGAATGGCAAGTGTAATTAACAACAGTTGCAAATGCAGTCTATGTCTTTACTTCTTACTTAATGGGACAAGGCAAAGTTAGCCTTACTTAAGCTTTGAAGGGAACTAGAACTAGGGAAATTCTCTATAAAGAATGTATATTTTTTTGTCAATCCTTATTTCCTGCAGCCTTCCCTTGGAATTCTCAGTACCTTGCCACCCAGAAACTTCTGGTCTCTCACTCTCTGGTCTATCCACAAATAAATGGGGATATTTCCTCCAGGGCCTATATATCCCTGATCAAAACAGGGCTCTGTCCTTATAGGAGAACTATGAGGTGAGTGAAAATCACTCATCCTCATAGTTCAAGCCGGCCTATGACAATGAAACTGTCACACGATGGCTCAATAGATTGGGAAGTGAGCGAACGCATACTGTCACTCGCTCACTTCTCGCTCATCATCTCCCTGCAGCGAGCAGTGACTGTCAGTCACAGAGCTCCATGCAGGGATTCCCCCCCTCCCCGCTCCGATCCTCCAGGGCTGACTGGAGGAATGGACGGCGGAGGGAGCGGATACAGATGGCTCTGCCTCTAGATGGGCAGAGCCAGCTGTCATTCACGTAGCTGGGTGGGTCTTGACAGCATTGTCAGGATCTGTCCCGGCTGCAGCGGTCTCAGTATACCGCGTGCTGTAGTCACTGGAGGACGCTAGTCTTGGGAGGATGCTAGTATATATCCTCCTGTCACACTTAAGAGAACTATGTGGAAAAACACTTACCCCATAGTTCTATTTTAACTATACTTCTCTACCTCAAGGTCCTGTAATGATGGATGCAGGAAAAGCTATATACAGCATCTCTCCATCTCACGATAGCTGTCAAATTCTGGTGGCAACTCTGTGTCAAAATATGACACAGGCATCTACAAGATGGTGCCCGGAGCCCGTGACAGAGGACACATTGGTCCTATGTTGGGCATCCCCTGTTTCCCATAGTAACACAACAGTCATGTGACTGCTCTGCTTATGCTTGAAGAAAAGGGAAACTGATTTAGTGGTCATAAGATCCCTGTATCATTTCCCAGTACAGCTAACCCTATGGAGCAAAGCCATCACTTCTTGGGCAGAGGTTGAAAATGAGCCCTCAGCAAAGGTGAACTGTAACCAGGAGGGATGCCACATAAGGTTGCCCTTTTCCCAGGAGGCACTGAATAGGTATACAGTAAGTATTGTAGTTCAGCCAAATTGTTTTTTTACAGGATAACTATGTTGCCTGTATCAGTGATATTTGTAAAAGTAGGCCTAGTTACTGTACTTACTACAAAATCTAAACATAGACAACTTTTTATATTACTGTTACCTTTACATTTATAGTTTTAAATTAATATCTACTAAATACAGTACATGTTTATTAAAGGGATGAGAATTATAATAAGTGCGTGTGTGTGTGTGTGTGTGTGTTTATAACAGTTGAATCCAATACAGTATAGAAATCTTGTTGATTTATGAAAAATTCTGCATACATTTTTGAAAACCATATTAAATTTGCTATTCTATCTTTGAATGACCCACTCTGGGAATTTCTCTAGTGTAGTCACAAATCTTCTCCACTGCTCCATTGATGACCAAATTGAATAATGTATCTGCAGGTTGAATAAGTGGTTGGGACTGATACATCTGCCATTTCATATGAAAGTATTGACTCAGAAAAAAGTTATTGCACAGTCAATAAAGGTAATTGCAGTAGAGCTCAGAGTGTTGCTATTGTGTGTTTGGTGTGTTGAGGACAGTGAGGATGACTTAGAAGCCTCCACCTGAGATAGTGGAACAAGAGGCAATCAGACCTAGAGTGGAGCAACTCTGTTTAAATATATTGAAAATCATCATTGACAAACGAGAGCAAATTTCTTGGCCAGCTATTCAGCTCATCTGCTCCAATAGTCCACATGTATTTTTTGTGCAAAATATTTTTCCTTTTTTAGTTTTTATTTTCATTATTTAAATGCATAAAATTATTTGTGTGCTTGCTGATGGTATTAGCCTGTTAAAACCTATTTTATGTACTAGAAAGTCATGTTTGTGGCTGACAGCTTAAAGTATAACTGAAGCCAAAACTTTTTTTAGTTTTGGATAGAGTAAAGGAGGGTTATAAATCCTGTTAGCTTTTTTGCCATTGGGGAGATTTCCCTTCCCTTCCTGTCTGATGGCCACAACAGGAAGTTAGAGGTAATCCCTTATAAAAAGAGGGAAATCCCTGGTGGGGGAGGGCTTACCATAATGAGCATGGTCACCAGAATGAGAACTGTTCTGACGACAAAGTAAAAGCAATGTTAGATTTTCTTTTACTTTTACGTTCAGTGATATCTGTCATGATGAAAAGTAGAGAGTGTGAATCTCCCTAATAAGGACCTAGACAGCAATAAAAACAGGTGTTGTAATCCCTCTCGACACTATCTAAAACTGAAAAAAGTTTCAGTTGTACTTTAAGTTTTTTTAAGAAGAGTTAAATGTAA